GTGCAGTTTCGTGTTGGCATTACTCTTGATTTCCGTGGTGACGTCGCTACCTCGGCTGCCCTTTCCCTCCAGCCAAGCTCTTCCTACTGCTCCTCCGCCTCTGCCGCCCCGGCTTCTCTCGGCGTCGTTCCTTCGTGTCTTGTGTTTTGCCCGTTCCTGTGCGGAGAACCCATCCCGTCCACCCACCCAGCCGTGGATACCGAGAAAGAGCAGCAGCCACCCGGACTATCCGGCAAAGATAGATCCTTTTGTGCGCCCCTCTCTCCCCCGGCCGTCCTGCACCGTCCGCCGGCCACGAACACAACGCGACGCAACACCGTAACACTGGGACTTTGGTTTTTCGTGGCGCGTTCGCGACGCCGCCACGGAAAAAGCCTTTCTCAACGGCCATTATATCACCGGGGCGAACATCTCTGGCCTACCCCGAAAAAGCACCGGCCCGACCCGGTATAATAAAAAATTAAGGGAGACCGGTATCGGACTGCTCGCCCTACGCCTCGGCGAGGGTTAAACGACTGGTAATGAACAGATGCTGCTCGGACGTGCTGAACGGGGATGGAAAGCTTGAGGGTTTCTTGGGGTTTTAGAGTTTTTGGAACACGGTTGTACTGGAATCTGAGTATTTTTTGGTGATAAAGGATGATAGGGTTCGTTGTTGTGCTTGTTTTTTGGAGGTAATTATCGAGTTTGGTAGTAATGGATTCTTGTTATGTTGTATAGAGAGTTTATGGAGTAGAAACGATGTCTGTTTATACGAGACACGTGTGTTGTTGGAATGTGAAGTTCTACCTTCGTTTTTCCTCAGAAATCAGAATATCCTCTGTTTCTTTCAAATAAATTCGATCGGTTAAGACGATTGAAATATCATTAAAATGGGTTTATCCACTTATCGGTGATCAAACTTTCATTGACGCTTACGCCGATTCTGAACGTATACGCCGCCACGACATCATTAAAAACGGATGAACGCTAAATAACGAGTGACGGATTGTTGATTTTCCACTCTAATGAAATTGAATTTATTTCCTAGTTCGATGTTCCAGTATCTATATTATAAATACGTTTTATATTTTCGCTAACAGTTTCGATATTGAAATTATCCTCCGTGCTCGAAAGTTGTTAATATCTTATAAACATCCGAGTATTTAACAACGTGATTACACCAAATGCCACTTTAGACTGCTTCCTCGATCGGTAATAAAATTCGGACAGGAAATACGGTGAAACCTTTCATATCCGAATAATACGGACACGATAGTATTCGGATAAAAGAATCTTTCACGGTAGAAAGACCACTTTTCTGGTACCAAATGTCATTTAATTAAACAGAAGTCATGAAGATTGACAGTTTGTTTAAATATTTGTCAGTCTTCTCGGCTGTTTTACTTCAATTGTAAGAAGAATCCACAATCGGTTCAAGAGGAAGTCTATAAAGGTCAAACAGATCGAACGAATATTATTCTTTCGCTGTTCGAATTATCATGATTAATCTCCAGTATTTAATTTATTTAAATATTTATTGATCTAATGAAACGGTTCAGCGATGTGCTCTGAGCTCCCAAATTCGCAGCGATCACGGTCGATGCTTGTCCTGGACGTAATTCAGTCGGCGAGGGGTAGAAGTAAAAGGCGCCGGGATGTGCTGGACAAATAAAGAGGCTTCGCAACACGCACAAGCCTTTTCCGTCGACGTTACGAAAACTAACGACGGAGCCGGATAAGAGATAGCGCCTCCACGGAGAAACA